GCGGGTCCAGGGCCGGCGGTTCCGGTCCCAGACCGTTCCCAGATGGTCTGGTACCGGAAATTTTCGGTAGCGATTTCGACGCGCCCCGAATTTCGGTAGCGACCGGATCTTCGTTTGAGGGCGTTGAAATAGCGGATTTCAGAACGGTCTGATACCGGTATTGGGCGCTACATTTCGGTATTTCGGTAGCGACCGATCTCTGCGGAGCGCTACCGGAAATTTTCAGTAGCGGACCATCAGGATTTTCACTGAAGGGAGGTTTACCAAAGGGAGGTTTGTCCCCCGCCGGTATATCCATTCGGCAGGATCGTTGCGGTCGCCTGTTCCGCTCTTCGTGGCTTCTCTCGCGTCGGCGCGCCGCGTCGTGCAGCTCTCGGCCCGTTTCCACGATCGAGCGGGCTGGCCGTGCAAGAGCTTCCCGCGCGAGTGCTCAAGGACTTACTCCAGATTTCGTAATAAAGGGAGGGGGGTCTCATTTCGGGGGGGGGTCTCTTCCCAGCTATCTTGGAGGGCCTGGGGGGGCCTGGGGACGATGTCTTGGAGGGTTCTCCCACGGGGGGGGGGTCTGAAATGGCTTGCCTTGGAGGGTCCAGACCCCCTCCCTTCTAATACGAAATCTGGACTTGGCCGTAGCGTCATAGATCATCGCGCCACGCTGATTTTGGTTCGGGCTTGCAGGTCTCGAGACGTGGCCGCACGTGCAGGCCGTCTGTCGAGAGGAGGGCGCGCAGCCCTCTGCCGGAGCGATGGCTATCCATGCGGGCTGTTGCCTCGCGGAGTTCTTGGCCATGACGATATTCGTGTCTGTCTGTTGCGGGGCTGCGACTGGCGTTGCGGGCATGGATGGGTGGATACAGCAGGTGTCGCTCACCTTCGGGATGTGCATCTACGTGCTGGCGACCACCTTCGAGCGCTTCGGGCTCCAGTGCAACTGCGCTGTGACCTTCGCGCTCGCCATTGCGAAGCTCCTGAACATTGAGGGATGCCCGGACATGTGTCCCGTCCAGGCCGTGGCAAACTTCGTGTCTCAGCTGCTCGGCTCGGTCGTCGGGGCTTCCATCGTGGCGGTGATCCGGGAGCACGAGAGCGACAACACCATGACGCTGGGCAGCAACACCCTCGGGGAGGGCATCGGCGCCGGGGAGGCGTTCGTCGGCGAGGTCCTCGGCACCTTCGTGCTCGTGTACCTGGTGTTCCAGACGGTCACGGCGAAGGAGCCCGTGCCCGTCCGCCTGGCCGCCCTGCCCATTAGCATGGCCGTGTACCTCGCGCACTCCCTCCTCATCCCAGTGGACGGGTGCTCCATCAACCCGACCCGCTCCTTTGGGCCGGCGCTGATAGCAAGCGTCCGCCTCTCCGGGGTGGAGGGCTCCGAGGACCTGGTCACGAAGATCTGGGAGGACATGTGGGTCTTCTGGCTGGGCCCGCTGTGCGGAGCGGCCTTGGCGGTCGGCGTGCACGTGATGATGGCCAGTGTGGACAAGCAGACTCAGACACCGCCCCAGCAGAGCGAGGATGGGAAGAACAAACCAGTAGAAGTGCCGGACGGCGTGATTATTGGAACAACCGCGTCGCCAGGGCCCCGACCCACGTCAGAGACAATCAAGGACAGCGAATGATTCGGCCGTCTTTTTTGCCGCCAGCGAGCGTTTTTCCACCAGGCCAGATGATTCCTCTCGGTCCTGAGACCGCGATGGAGGGCCGCGGCAAGCCACTTTTACTGCCCGCATGCGATCAGTCCAGCGCTGGAGGCAGCGCTGGACAAGCGGGCTGGCACTAGCGACGCTGGCGCGCGTTTTCTCGATACGCCTTCGACCCTGCATCAATGCGGGCTGGGGGACACTGCTTGCCAGCAGTGGGCCAGCATGTCGGCCATGCCAGAAGGTACCTCCCCTGCGAGGGAGCGAGCCTTTGGCCTCTCCCCGGGGAACAGGAGGAGGGGGAGGGGGAGGGGGAGG